AGCAAGCCTTTTGTGTGCATGAGTCATTTCTCCATTATTTCTTGATTATAAACTTGGCAATGGGGAAGTGTACTAATTCTGTAATGGTCATTGGAGAGTAATTTTTTTTATATTACCTCCAGTGTACATGGAATGAGGTCAGCACTGCCTGTTTAGGAAGCAGTTTGAATGAAGTTTTTTTTAAGTTTCTTATTTCTGTATTTAGTCACGTTGTTCACTAATCCAGAAGAGTACCTATCATTGTGACATACATTTCTGAGATGACTGACTATATGTAGATGAATGCAGATGTCATAAATACAACACTACCTAAAAGAACTCTTTATCTAGTCAGGTATATATGAATTTCTTACGTTATAAGCCTGTATGATCTGTCAGATTAAGAGTCAGACCATATATCGTGGTTAAATCGTAATGACGATTAGATGTGTTTTCAGCAAATACAACTACCAGATTTTATCATTTGTTCAACATTTCATGGACACTTGGGACAGAAAATTTTAAATTTTCTCAGTTAAAAATATAAAAATGTTGATCACTGATCATTTTGTTACAGTTCTAACAATTACAATACAGTTCTAAAAGGCTGCATATAAATCTTCACAATTCTTAGTCTGTAGTTCAGATTAGCTTCTTAATGCCATGTTCTCCTAATGGAATGTTGTCTCCTTCTCAATGTTCTCTGCAGTATTTTTATATATCTTAAGTGAACTGAAAAATATGCTAAGACCCAGATGTTGTTTTATTTCAACAATTATAGAACTTACACAGTGAGGATCAGTAACTTTATAAATTTATGAGATTATTTAAAATGTGATTAGTGAAATGTTATCTTCATTTTTGTTTCCGATATTTTAAATTAAATCAAATTGAAAACATTGGACTAAATTTACTTTCCTTATGTGTTCTCTCTAGTTTTTTGGGTGGCATTGTTTAAATGAATGCACCAATAAATATCATACATGATTCTTACTAATAAAACATAGATTGTCTGAAAAGTCTAGAAGCATAGGAAAAACATTTTATTAATTATGCTTTTTTCTGATTAATAATTGGCTTAAATTTAGAAATGTGTTACCTGAAAAAAGAATGTGGGGATGAAAGGAAAATATATTTTGAAAATGTAACTAACATCGTGATTTTATTTTTATTTTACATTTTGAAACTCAGATGCTCAGAATCAGATTAATTATAATTTTTAATTCATTTCATTCATCATTCACCCAGACATAACCACTTTTATTTTGTTAATTAATTACTTTTAATAATGGAATGATCACCCACAAAGTCACTATCCAAAACAAAAGCTGAGCCTCTAACAACAGCTCACATCAAATCCTGTTACCCATTATCCCAAACAGTCCACCCCCCTCTTCTCTCCTATCCTAAGGATCCACCACCCAGAATCGTATAATCCTTGTTCTTTTTATCTCATTGTATTATAACTGTATTATAACTATTTTTTTCCTAAAACGTACACAAACATATATTTAGTAGTGTTTTTTTTTTTTTTTTAAATTTACAAAAAGAATGTCAGACTTTGTATTATCTTTTGGAACTTCTGTCACTTAGTGTTGTATTGATAAGATTAATTCGTATGGTTACTTGCAGTTGCATTGTATTCATTTTCGTTGCCTCCATATTCATCTAGTGACTGTATCTTGGTTTATTTTATCTACCATCTATTGCTGGACATTTGGATTCGTTCTGGTGTTTGTTACTATGAACAGTGCTGCTATAAACATCCTTTTATGTGTCTTCTCTTATACATGTTGCAAGAGTTTCTGTTGAGTATATACCTGGATATAGAAGTACTGGGGTATAGAGGAGGTAAATGTTTGATTTTAAGAAAAAAGTGGCAAGCTTTTCCAGAGTTGTTGCCCTCATCTGTAGCATGTGAAAGAAGCTATGGAGCCATACTTGGCATTATCAGAATTTTAAATATTTGGAATCCAGTGGAGGTAAAATGGTATCTTATTGTGATCTTAATAAACGTTATTTTAAAATAAAAACATTCCAACATTCCTTCATTTCTAGTTTTTTCAAGAATACTGTGCATTTCACAATATGGTAGTGGTGTATAGATCAATACAAAGTAATTAATTACAAAATGACCTATGTCTTACTTGGGGCTAATTTTATTTTATTTTTTTGCAACTCTTCTTTCACATTACTGCAGACATAGCCAGGACTGTGATATACAGTCATTTTGGCCATTATATTCTCTTCTGGTATCCCACCTCCCGAGGCAGAATGCCAAGGAGTGAGATCATGTATTTGCTATAAGCTTTTCAGTCATTCATTCTTTCTCACTCTAGAAGCTTCACCTCATCCCAAGTGATTTAAAAAATATCTGAGAGATTTCCATTGCCTACTCAGGTTTATAAAAGCTTTTATTTTATTAAAATATATAGCGCTACATGGACACATTTATGAACACACAGTCATTTGATTGCAAAGGTATATAGAATTGGCCCACATGATTAAGTATTTTTAAAATCCATTCAATTAGATTTCTAGATGTTCATGTTCCTTTCTCATTAGACATTAAGTCACTTAATTTAAATGCAAAGTCATGTTTAAGGTGACATGGACATCTGAAATGAAGGACTAATGAATGTCCTTTAAATTGGAAAGCAGCGAGGGTAGGAGAGAAATCCTGCTGCAAAACTCCACAGTCAGCAAAAGCAAGTAAGTGTGATGATGATTCATGGTGTTTACTATAGCTTGTTAACACACATAGAATTTCCAAGAGGAAAAGAAGAGTGAGAGTAGTGGTAAGAAAGAAGTAAGGACATACAGATGTGCTACTTAGGACTTCCTTTCCACCCCTCCTCACTAATCTGAACCACCTAATCTAGCACAAGAAAGTGAGTTTAAAACTGTGGTATGCATTATTCATGGAATGGTAACTTTCATTCTGATTATAGATACTTAAAAGCATCATGCATGTTAAGTGAGATTAGTGGAAACTCTGTGCTTCTGTTGCAATGTATCTGGTCACTGTGAGTCAAGATGGATAATAGATCTCCTAAAATGATGTAGAATTGCCTATGTTGCTAACAAGAAAATCTTTTCATACACAGTGAAGTGTTTAAACTTTTCTTCCTTTACTTATCTTTAATTCCTTCCCACTTCCAATTGAGTTGTTTATAATTTTTAAAAACTGGACCTCTGAAGAAATTGACTCACTCATTTTTAAGTCATAGGGCATTTTTTTGCAGAATATAATGTGCATTGTAATGTAATAAATAATTTAATTTCTTAGGAATATTGAACTCTTGGGGTTTCTGGGTGGTGTAGTCAGTTGAGCATCCCACTTAGGCTCAGATCATGATCGCATGGTGGGTAAGTGCGAACCTGCATCTGGCTCCTGGCTGACAGTGCAGAGCCTGCTTTGGATCCTCTATCTCCCTCTCTCTGCCCCTCCCCCCCTCAAAAATAAACATTGAAAAAAAAAAAAAAAGAATATTGGGCGCCTGGGTGGCTCAGTCAGTTAAGCGTCCGACTTCGGCTCAGGTCATGATCTCATTTTTGTGAGTTCAAGCCCTATGTCGGGCTCTGTGCTGACAGCTCAGAGCCTGGAGCCTGCTTTGGATTCTGTGTCTCCTCCTCTGTCTGCCCCTCCCATGCTCATGCTCTGTTTCGCTGTCTCAATAATAAATAGATGTTAAAAAAAATTAAAAAAAAAAAGAATATTGAATTCTTGTGTCCCTTAAAGGGGACTTTTACAACTTACTAATACAAATATTGGCACTCAAGGGGCACCTGGGTGGCTCTGTCCGTTAAGCCTCTGACTTCAGCTCAAGTCATGATTTCCAGGTTTGTGAGTTCAAGCCCCAGTGGGGCTCTGTGCTGACAGCTCAGAGCCTGGAGCCTGCTTCAGATTCTGTGTTTCCCCCCTTTCTCTGCCCCTCCCATGCTCATGCTTTGTCTCTCTCTCTCTCTCAATGATAAATAAACGTTAAAAGAATTCAAATATTGGCAACTCAATCGCAGGTGAAAATGATATTAAAATAGTTCAAGGATAAAATTACACATGGGGTAGTTGTTCCCAAACATTAATAAGACCACGATCTCATTTTTATATAACATATATGCCAGAAGAAGTTATGAACCAATACAGTTGTAAGGAAAGGTAACTACACAACAGTTAAGATCTATGGCCATTGTTTTCCATTTAGGGTTAGAAGTACATTTCCTTTCCTGAGCGACCAATAAGGCCATTTCAAAGAGAAACAAATAGAAGCAAAAAATAGACTGTAAGACAAGCTCTGATTGAAGAAGCAGTATTACCCATTGAAAACACCCAAAAGGAACTCTCTAAATTCTTTGTCTAGCAATTAGCGTGCAGAAATCTCCTTGGACAGGAGAGAGAAGCAGTGCCCAGAAAGAGATTGGCACTTCAATAGTGCTGCCTCTGGTGGTGAAGGGATATGCTTATATTTCTCACAAGATTCTTTCCCCCTCCAGTCTAGAGCCTCGTGAAAACTGGAGCCGTCTACACATTGTTGTGAAGCCAACTCCACAGTCCTGGACGAAGCACAATGGGTGGGTGTGAGCGAGTTCCTCGTCTCCAGTCCTTCCTGTTAATGTTCACCAGTGTTTTGGGATCTGAGTTCCTGAAACTTTCTAACGGGGGGTAGGGAAACGTTACGTTTCTTCCCTGTAGCGACTTTGTTTCTTTTTCTCCTGCTCTAAGCAGGGTGTTTGACCTGGTCGACTGTGTTCCCTATACCTCTCGCACCAGCTGTGTCCCCGACCCCAGAATAAATCAGGGCTGCGAGAGGCCTGGCATAGCTCCGGACACATTTCCTGTAGGGGCCTAAGGAAGGCTGTTTGCAGCCAGGGCGGCGGTGGGGATTCTTGGCCGTTGATGGGGCGGGGGAAGTGGGGGAGAGCCAGCTGTAGGGGGCGGTGACCACGCTCTTGGGACAGCTCCGCGCCCTCGGGCGGGACAGATCCAAGTTAGGAACAGCTGTGGGCGCAGGGCCTTCAAGATGAGGCCGGCACTAGCTCTGTGCCTCCTCTGGCAGGCGTTCTGGCCTCGACCTGGCCGGAGCGAGCACCCCACCGCAGACCGCGCGGGCTGCTCGGCCTCGGGGGCCTGCTACAGCCTGCACCACGCTACCATCAAGAGGCTGGCGGCCGAGGAAGCCTGCAGTTTGCGCGGCGGGGCGCTCAGCACGGTGAGCGGGGGCGCAGAGCTCCGGGCGGTGCTTGCGCTCCTGCGGGCAGGCCCGGGGCCCGGAGGGGGCTCCAAAGACCTTCTGTTCTGGGTGGCGCTGGAACGCGGGCGATCGCACTGCACTCTGGAGAAAGAGCCATTGCGGGGTTTCTCCTGGCTCTCCCCCGACGTCAGCGTGTCCGAAAGCGAGACGCTGCAGTGGGTGGAGGAGCCTCAACGCTCCTGCACTTCTCGGAGTTGCGCAGGACTCCAGGCCACCCGGGGGGTTGAGCCCGCAGGCTGGAAGGAGATGCGATGCCACTCGCGCGCCAATGGCTACTTGTGCAAATACCAGTTTGAGGGCTTGTGCCCGGCGCCGCGCCCCGGGGCCGCCTCTAACTTGAGCTACCGTGCGCCCTTCCAGCTGTACAGCGCGGCTCTGGACTTCAGTCCCCCAGGGACCAAGGTGAGTGCGCTCTGCCCTGGGCAGCTCTCCATCACAGCCACCTGCATCGTGGACGAGGTCGGCGCGCGCTGGGACGGGATACCCTCCGGGGCTGTGCTCTGCCCCTGCCCCGGGAGCTACCTCCGTGCTGGCAAATGCGCAGAGCACTCTAACTGTGTAGATGACTTGGGAGGCTTTGCCTGCGAATGCGCGGCGGGCTTCGTGCTGGGGAAAGACGGACACTCTTGTGTAATCAGTGGGGAAGGACAGCCGGTCTCTGAGGGGACCGAGGTGCCCACCAGGCCAGCCACTGCAGCCAGCCCCGATCAGAAGAGAACGTGGACACCCAGGGTACCTGAAAAGCCAAGGGAGGTACCACATGTCCTTGGACAAGGCAGTTCAGCAACATCTATTGCCGAGATTCCTCAGTGGGGAGCACAGAGCACGATGTCCACTCTTCAGATGTCCTCTCAAGCTAATTCAAAGGCCGCCATCACCTCTTCAGGAAGCGTGACTCCCAAGTTTAATTCCACGTCTTCCCCTGCCATTCCCCAGGCTTTCGGCTCCTCCTCCACCGTGGTCTTCATACTTGTGAGCATAGCGGTCATAGTGTTGGTTATCTTGACTATGACAGTGCTGGGGCTTTTCAAACTCTGCTTCCACAAAAGCTCTTCTTCCCAGTCAAGAAAGGAGCCTTTGGCCCAGCCAGGCATGGAGAGTGGTACCGAGGCCACTGCTCTGCGCTCCAGTTCTGTACATTGCACAGACAATGGGGTGAAGGTAGGGGACTGTGGTCTGCGGGACAGAGCGGAGGGTGCCTCACTGACAGGGTCCTCTCTTGGGTCAGGTGACACATAGGGAAAAGGCACTCCCTCTGAGCAGAGTTTTTCACTGTCAATGAAAGGGGAAAGAAAATGAACTTATTTAGGGACTGACTATTCCTATAGAAAATTCTCTTCCCCCAAATTCCCTCTACTCTACTGAGGAGATAAATCTGAACTGGACGCTGGATTCCTGAAGAAGAAAGAGGTGATTGAAATGGAAGTGCCTTATGGTGGTAGTGGGGGCTGGGATCCTACTGTGGAGAGGTTTTCCCTTGTGTTTATTCTGGGGGATTTGGAGAAGGGCTTGAATTTGTTAAGACATTGGAAGCAAATAGAAAACAACACAATTAAAAAAATTTTTTTAAACCAAAATGGAAAGGAAACTTACTGTCTGCATTGTTCAGCCTGGACGTATAATGGTTTGAAATTCCCAGGCAAAAAATAAAGGATTGTTGATAACCCACACTCAAATATCATTGGTTTCCTGGAGGAGTAATTATTTAGGAAAAACAGCATAGGGGCATGCTGGGAATAGCAATAAGAGCATCCTGCTTTCCGATTGAAGGGGAAATCTTCAAGTCCTTGTAATGAGGAGTAGATCTTTAACAACTAGCAACTTTTTTTCTTGGTTCTTTTATACTTTGCTTTCAAAGTCACTCTACTTATGTGCTCTGCTATAAATCCAAACTGTAGTGTTGCCAGAGTAGCTGGCTCTAGAAGCAAATTATAGTTGACCACCAATTCAAGTGTTTACTGTGTGTCCTTGCTCAAGGAAACAAATGATTTGTGTTTTCCGTTTCCAACGTTTGTGCTGTCCAGTGTAATGACCTTCCCAACCAAGTAGCCCTCTCCTAAACATTAGGATGCTGATCCTCACTTCCAATTATGGTGATGTTAATTTTCAATTAAAACGTTAATGCTAAGTATTGATTTGAAATCTTTTGGGTGCATTAAAGCAAAAATGAGCTGGATTTCTGCCAAAGTTGCTAGGTTCTTACGTACTGTTTAATCCAAGGAAAAATGTTGAATTCCATACTATTTCCTTATCCTCCTTAAAAAAGTATGTGTAAAAAAAAAAAAAGTGTGTGCAATGATTGTACATGCCCATCTTCGAATGTTTATAATTTAACAACAGGCATGGTAACAGCTCTCCATAAGATTGATAGTATAAGAAATAAGTGAAAAATACAAATATCTGTCATCTTGTTGTGACTTGGGGCATTAGAAAGTAATCTAAGTAAAGCATTCCTCTAAAAAATAATTGAGAAGTTATAATAATCACTATCTAGTGGAATTGAAACCCCTAAAAATATCCCACTTCTATTAGTATGCTAAGACTTAATATTTTTTTAAATATTTATTTTTGAGAGACAGAGAGAGGCAGAACACAAGTGGGGGAGGGGCAAAGAGAGAATGAGATACAGAATCCGAAGCAAGCTCCAAGCTGTTAGCACACAGCCTGACAGGAGGCTCAAACTCATGAACCTCGAGATCATGACCTGAGCTGAAGTTGGATGCTTAACCCACTGAGCCACCCAGGGGCCCCTAGTATGCTAAAACTTTAACACTAAGTGTGTGGGTGTTGTTATACAGAGAGAGAAAGACAAACAAGCTTAGTAATCAGGAAGAATGAAAACAAGAAGTTTGCACTATATTTTCATAGAACCATTTTGATGCTCTCAAGTGTACCTTGTATAATATATATATGTATATATATATGTATATATATATGTATATATATACGTATATATATACGTATATATATATGGTATTTTATAATTAAAGGAATGAAGTAATAGGCAATTTGCTTCATATACTAAATATATATCTAAATAGTTATAAAATAAAATCACAAGTGAATTAGATTTAAGATGTGAAGGAATTTTAAATAAAATCATTTCACAAGAGAACTAAAATCAGGTAAGTAATGGCTTACTCAGTGTCTCTAACTTGTCAGAGTGTCTCAGTTCTCCTCAATAGTGGTGTTTTATCTTTCCTCTTTACTACATGACCTCTGTGTAGAGAAGGTAACTGTGTGAATAGAATATATGATCCTTTCTTTTGTAACTTGAAAAATAGGTCCCTCTATCACTGAACTGAACTGTAAATTATCTATGTCTATAATTATCAATATATCTAAAATTATCTATATCTTTGTGTGTACACAAGCTTTGTCTTAAAGTAGATTGCTTTTGTATCATTGCTATAATACAATGGAGTATATATCATTAACTTATTATGCAACATGACACTGGTGGCATTACAAATCTTGGAGTCCAAATGCCATATGTGAAAAATAAATAGGTTTGAGCTTTGTTACTCAACTATTACCTGCTATTATTTCCCCCTTGTAAGTAGATCAGGCAAGAATTACAGAAAACTATGTTGTTTTCATATTTGATTTCCTGACAGATAGCAATTGCAGACCAAGCTTCATATGACTCTCTTAAGTTTTGGCTATGAAGTCTTCCCTAAAATTTCGAATCCATGGCAGAATCAGGCCAGTCAAACTTGATCTCTTGTGAACTAAGGTTAGAGTCTTTACTATTTCTTTACTACCACTTCATTACTTCTCCAACCTCTTTCAGGTTCAGTCCTTTCTTAGACCTTCTGTCCCTACATTCATTTCATATAGTAGCTGCCTGCTCAATCATTTCCTTAAAAGGAAGACTTGGCATCTAATTTTCAGTCTTTCTCTTCAGCCCTGTAAGTCCTGCCACTATTTCACACAGTCTCACTCACGGTTGATTCTTCCAATGCCTGTACATTTCAGTTCCTTGACTTCCCTACTTCCAGTGACCTCCACTTCATTGTAGTCATCCGATCCAACAGCCACACCTTAGTCTTTCACATGATTCTGAAACTGCTCTACAATCTGAAATCATGAATTCACACATCCGTATGCTTGCACATATGTTGAGACTTGTATTTTATTGAGTTTTGCCACTGATTGAAAGTAAACCATTAACATTTGACCTTTGAGATTCCTTCTTTCTTACAATAACAGGCTTGCTGTGAATATTAGCCTTACATGGTATAATTCTTTTTCTTTTTGTAAACAATTTCACATACACAGAATTTGCAAATGCAGTAAAAGTAACTTTCCTTCCTGAATCATGTAAGAGCAAATTGCCAGCTTAATGCCCCACCACACTGAATATCTTAATGATTACTTCTAGGTTACATAATTTATTGGCATGCAATTATTCACAGTATTCCCATGAAATTATTTTTCATTTCCATGAGGTTGGTAGTGATATCTTCTCTTTGATTTCTAAGTTTTAGTAATTTGAGTATTTCCCAAGGGTGGGATTAGTCTAACTAGAAGTCTGCCAATTTTGTTGATCTTTTCAAAGAACTTGTTTTTGGATTCATTGATTTTCCCCTATTGTGTTTCTGTTTTCTATTTCACTTATTTCTCATCTAATTTTTATTATTCCATCCCTATCCTTGTTTTGAATTTAGTATATTTGCAATTTTCTACTTTTTTAGGATGGTAAGTTAGACTATTGATATGAGATCTTTCTTTTTTTGAGATCTCCCTTTTAAAAAAATTTTTATTTAATTTTATTTTAGAGAGAGAGCAAATGGAGGAGGGAGAGCAAGACAAAGAGAGAGAGAGAGAGAGAGAGAGAGAATCTCAAGCAGGCTCTACACTCAGGGCAGAGCCCAATGCAGGGCTCAATCCTAACCCCTGGGATCATGACCTGAGCCAAAATCAAGAGATCTTCCTTTTTTAATATAAGCATTTATGGCTCTAAGTTTCCCTTTAAGCACTGCTTTAATGGTATTCAGTAAGTTTAGGCAAGTTTTGTTTTCCTTTTCATTCATCTCAAAGTATTTTCTAATTTCCTCGTGATTTTTTTTCTTTAATACACTGGTTATTTAGGAGGGTGTTTCTTAATTTCCACATATTTGTAAACATCCCTAAATTCCTTCTGTTTTTCATTTTTAATTTGATCCATTGTGGTTAGATTAGAAAAGAAAATTTGCGTGGTTTTAAACCCTTTTATTTTTATTATTTTTTAATGTTTATTTGTTTTTAATTTTTTAACGTTTATTTTTGAGAGAGAATGAGAGAGAGAGAGAGAGAGAGAGCAGGGCAGAGGAGGGGCAGAGAGAGAGAGAGTGAGAGGGAGGGAGACACAGAAATCAAAAGTGGGGTCCAGGCTCCACCATGTCAGCACAGAGCCCAACACGGGGCTCGAACTCACGAACTGTGAGATCATGACCTGAACTGAAGTTGGATGCTCAACTAACTGAGCCACACAGGTGCTCCTAATGTTTATTTATTTTTGAGAGAAAGGAATTTGAAGTCGGCTCTGTGCTGACAGCAGAGAGCCAAATGCAGGGCTAAAACTCACAAACCATGAGATCACGACCTGAGCCAAAGTCAGATGCCTAAAGGACTGAGCCACCTAGGTGCCCCGGTTTCAACCCTTTTAAATTTATTGAGTCTTGTTTACGGTCTATCTCAGAGCATAGCATATGGTCTATCCTGGAAAATGTGTTCCACAGGTACTTGAGAAGATAGTGTATTCTGCTGTTGTTGGGTAATGTACTAGAGAAGTCTGTTGTAAACACTTTGTTTATAGTGTTTTTCAATTCCTTTATTTCAGTTTGATCTTTTTCTTAGTTTTTTGCTGAAGTCTCAAACTTTTATTGTAAAGTTACCTATTTCTAACCAGTTCTGCCGGTTATTTTTAAACGTAATTTGAGCTCTGTTATTAGGTGCATATATGTTTATGGTTGTATCTCCTAATGTATGGGCTCTTTTTTCATAAAATGTCCCTCTTTATCTATGGTAACATTTTTTGTTTGTTTGTTTGTTTGTTTAAAGTCCATTTTGCATGATATTAGTATAGCAATTTCAGTTGTCTTATGGTTCCTTTTTTTTATTACATTTTTTTCATCTTTTAGTTTTCAACCATTTATGCCTTTGAATCTAATGTGTCTTTTGTAGACAACATATGTTTGGATTATTTTCTTTAATCTATTCTCCCATCTCTGCCTTCTGAATGAATGTTAAGTACA